CTTGGACCCATATGTCATTAAGTAGAATGCTGTTTAATTTCCATGTGTTTGTATGGTTTCCTGAATTTCATTTGTTATTGATTTCTAGTTTTAATCCATTGTGGTCTGAGAAAATACATGGAGTGTCCCTCATTGTCTCTTTTTATGGTTTTTAGTTTAAAGTCTACTTTGTCAGATATAAGAATAGCTACTCCAGCTCGTTTTTCTTTTCTGTTTGCATGGTAAATCTTTTTCCGTCCTTTCACTCTTAGTCTATGTGAGTCTTTATGGGTGCGGTGGGTCTCTTGAAGGCAGCATATAGTTGGGTCCTCCTTTTTAATCCAGTCAGCCAGTCTGTGTCTTTTGATTGGGGAATTTAAGCCTTTTACATTAAGAGTTGTTATTGAAAAGTGTTGATTTATTCCTAGCATTTTATTGATTGTTTGGTTGTCTTAGGTGTGTTTTGTTCCTTGCTTTCTGATTTACTGTTTGTTTTCTGTGTTTGTTGGTTCCTTAGTTTGTAGATAGCCTTTTTGTTTGTTTGTTTTCTCTTCATGAATGTGATGGTCTTTATTTTATACTGAAGAAGACACATTCTCCTTAGGCAGAACATATGAGCATGAAGTGGCTCTGGCCCCTACTGGAGGCTTTCCCTCTAGGTCACTTCCTCTGCGTCTCCTTCCTGAACCCCAGTCCCTCCGTGAGACTTGGAGAGCTTGTGGGAGGGAGCTGCTTGCTTTTGAGAGCCATTCGCATGAGCAGAACCTCTTGGCCTCAACTCCAGATTCTTTGGCTTTGCTGAGGTTTGGATCTGTAGTGTGTCAACAAGATGACAGACGTCTTTACAATTCCACCCGCTTTTTTGGTCTCTCCCTATCAACATGTCTCTCTAAACCAGCCTTATTATTTCAATTCTTTGTATAGTCTGTCCTTGCTTTATAAAGTGCAGACCGCTTGTGTTTATTCAGAGTAGGGTTTATTGATTTGGGTACTGCCCCTCCCCACCCCCACCTCCCACCTCCTCCTGCACCCTCATAGGCAGCTTGGGACTCTTCCAGAAGTAAGTTCTTGCCTGCTACCACAAGGAACGAGCCATCTTCCCTGGGCTCACATTGGTGTCTGTTTCTTCCTCAGTCGTTCTGTGTGGGAAAACATTACACAGGCAGCACTTTCAATGTCTGTTTTAATAGATAGAATCATTGTGAAAATACTTGCCTAGGGCTTTGAAACTTTTTATTTCCTCTTGTTCAAACAGTTGTGTCTGCAGACCCGTGGTGCGGGTGTAAATCTGTTGAGTCCTTGGCCATCCGAGGTCAATCCGGTTGTTGCTAAACGAGCACCTTACTCCTGCTGACTGTTCCCATAGCTGGAATACCGCTACCTCATGCTGTGACCACAGCCAGTGTCCTTCCTCAGTCCTCTCCACCCCCATAAATCCATCATGTACACAATTAACAGAGCTGTTTTTAACGTATCTCTGACTCTGCTTAGAACTCTTCACTGGCTTTTTCTTTCCTACAGGATTCATTCCAGACTCCTTGGTCCAGCATTCGAGATGCTCCCTCATTTGGCCTCTGCTCAATTTGTTACCCTGTTAACCTACTTTTTTGAATCCAAGTGAAATTATGTCAAACACCCTTTGCCATGCTATGTCCCTGTACCTATGAGCTCCTGGTGTTTGCTCTGCCCAGAATGTATCTTTTCTCCCCTCCCTGGTCCATTTGCCAGACTCTTACCCAGCCTTCAGGGCCTGGCTTGACCCTCCGCCATCAGGGAAGCCTGTCCTAACTCCTGCCCTTCCTCCAGGCAGGCAGGGTGGTTATCCTTCCCTTGTGCTATCATTCTGCTTCAGACTTACTCTTCTCTAGCACCACATCACGTGGTTATGTGTCTACCCCCCTAGTTGCAAGACAACTGACTTTGCCTTTGTGTCCTCGGTGCCTGGCTTGGAAAAGGCACTCAGTAAACATTTGGACGGATGGATGGATGCATGGATTTCTCCTTGTACAGAGCATGTCCTGAAGTTAGAGGCAGTTACGTTGCACTTTGTTGTTTCCAGTACACATCTGAGTGAGCCTTGTCACAAAGAAGAAGAAAATACAGTTTTCCACACTCTGTGAGGAGTTGTTCTTCATAAGTATCCAGTTCTGAAGAGTCTATCTATACTGGTTATTAAAACATAGGGCCTCTTTCACCTTCACTAGGCTTATTGTAATTGTCACATGTTAAAAGAGAAAGTACCTTAGCTTAGTAATGTAAACAATGAGTAACTGATAACCCAACTTGTTATGTGCATTTTGATTTATGTTACTGCTTTGGAAAGCAACTGATGTCTGTCTTTTCTTTCAGTCAAACGCTTCAGAGAACCAAAGCATGAAAGACGTCCATGGAGGATATGGTACATATTAAGTGTTAACTCATTCCTAGAATGTTTTTGACTCTGATGGGGTTTTTTTTGGAGGGGAGTGGAGTAGGTAGGCGATGGAATGTGAGAAATGATACATAACATAAAGTGTCTGGAATCCCTTATTTCAGTTCATCATCAGGAACTATGTATAATATGAAAGCACTTCTATTTCTCCAGATAACTTTTGATCCCTGTCTTTATTTTATGATCACTCTGCTTCCCAGTTTTGAAGGATGGAAAATAATACAAATACATCATTTGCTGCTTCAGGCTTCTTGATCTGTGTCTACCTGTTGTTAGATTGTGTTTAAATTCTTGGATTCTATAGTCTGCCTATGTAAGCAAAAAAAATCTAAATTTGGAGATTAGTCAAATATATCGTATAAATGCTACTCTCCCCCAAAACTAGCCTTCCTTGGTCCCAGGATAAAGGAAAACTATTTTTTTTCTACTCACTTCTGACACCAAATGTGTGGGTTCCCCCCCCCCACACACACACACCAACTAGTTTTCCAACACTCTGGAAACCTACTGGGTATCCAACAATTTAATTCAATCCTGATACTAACTACCTAGAGTTAGTGCAGACCCCACAGGTAAAGGACTCAATCCCACAAGACTGCCTCCCGCTTCAGATGTGACCCATACACTCTGTCCAACTTGGCTGCAAAGTTGGGGATTCCCCCAGCCCCCCTCAGGTTCAGTAATTTGCTAGAACAGTTCACAAAACTTGGGGAAACAGTTATTTACATTTACTGGCTTATTATAAAGGATACAGATTGTATTTGTCCAGTTCTGTTCCTTATAACAAAATATATGGAACTGAGTAATTTGTAAGAAAATGAAATATTATTGCTTATGGTTTCAAAGGCTGGGAAGTCCAAAGTCCAGGAAAGACATCTGGTGAGGGTCTTGGTGGTGGTGACAGTGACCCAGGGGTCTCACATGGCAGAAAATGGTGGAGCAGAGAGAGACTAACCTCCTCGTGCACTCTTCTTTTAAAGTCCCCCCAAACCATGCCCATGACCACCATTTTTAATCCATTCACTACAGCATGGTCCTATAATTTAATCACCTCTTCAAGACCCCACTTTTCAATTACCATAATAGGATTTCCCACCCTCAACAATTACAGTGGGGATTAAGCCTCAGTGAGGCTAGGGAGGCATCCATTCTACAGCATGGATGAATAGCTAAATGAAGAGGTATATAGGGCAAAGTCTGGAAGGGTCCCAAATGCAGGAGCTTCTGTATGTATGGATTTGGAGTGTGCCACCCTCCTGGAATGTGGATGTGTTCAACAGCCCAGAAGCTTTCCAAACCCTGTAGTTTAGGGATTTTATGGAGGTGTCATCATGCAGGCATGATTGATTAACTCAATCTCTAGCCCCATTTCTCCCCAGAGAGCTTCTAATCATGCCTTGTTCTTTCTGGTGACCAGCCCCCATCCTGAAGCTATCCAGGAGCCCACCAAGAGTCCCTCATTGGAACTAAAGATACTTCTGTCACTCAGGAAATTCCAAGGGGTTTAGGACCTCTGTGTCAAGAACCAGGGGCAGAGACCTAATATATATTTCTTATATATATCTTGATAATATATATCAAACATATCTATTTCACATAGGATGACCCTGCAAAGGAAGTTTTTCCTTCATAAAATGGTGGTAAATCTTCAGCTGATTTACCACAGCTGGTAAATCAAAAAAAAAAAAAAACCACACTTGGAGGGATACAGCCAGCTCTTCAGGACAAAATGATGTCCACAAGAAGCTGCCTTTTGGGGCTGCCTTAGGTCTGCCCTAACAAAATAGCCATTTTCCCCTTCCGAGGAAACTTCAATAAGTCACTGTGATCAAGGCCCCTTTCTAAAATTTTAATCATGTGCTTCCTTGTTCTTAAATGCATTACTGCCTAACTTTGATGATTCTTATTTTTATTTTCTCCCTTATCGGTTTCTCTCAAATCTGGTTATTTACCTTTAGAATGTGTGACTCCCACCTCAAGTCTGGGGGACTCTCTGTGTCTTACACACAATGGCCTTTGGTGACTTCTCCCTTCAGAGAGTTTAGGGAATGCTTTTCAAGCCTCAGTTGCGGGGTGGGCCTGGATAATCTTTACAGTCCGTTCCAGCCGAGAGGCCCCATAGCTGATGCCCAGCCAGGAGGCCAGGCGAGACAGCCATGATCACGAGTGGCCTCTAAGTGCTCTCACACAGACACTGAAGGTACATGCTGTCTCCACCATGCCTCTGCCATGTGGTCGGGGTGACAGTGTGTCTCAAAGACTAGCACCCTTGTTTTTTCTTTTTTTTCTGGAATGCCTGTCATGTAGCCCAGGGTCTGACACACTACCACCTGTAAGCCTGATCTGTGTGGGAATAGCAGCATCTATGGCTGCTTTCACGCTCCAATGGCAGGTTGAGTTATCGTGACAGAGAACGTATAGCCCACAAAACCTAAAATAGTTACTTTCTGGCCCTTTACAGAAAAAGTTTGCCTACTGCTGATCTACCCATTGTTAAAATGGTAGCAGCAGAAATTTGTTTAGGGTCTCAACTCAGTGCTGGATTTGAGCAAGACTTGTTAATCTTGCACATAATTTAGTTCATTGTGAGTGAAGTTGAATAGGAGCCCTTTAAAATAGAGGCATCTTGGGCTTCATCACAAAGCAGTGATCAAGCATTTCATTTTGAAGTAGCAAAAAATGAAAAATTAAAAACACATATTTGAAATATCACTAATCGGTGGCCTTGTGGGGATTTCCAAGGCATTGTTATTGAAGGTTTTGAAAGGTGGCTGAAATGCCAAGCCCGAGTTAGCACTGAAAGCCCCAGGAAGAGGTGACTAGTAATTGGAAGGTTGAGGTCTCCTGGGTAGCTTTTCCGTTTTCAGACTCCTCATTTTCCCCAAGTTGGATATTACCCTCCTGTCAGACTGATAACAAGTGCTGGTTCTGTTTTGTACAGGTTTTTAGACACTTCCAAACAAGCCATAGGAATGCTGTTCATCCACTTTGCAAACGTATACCTAGCAGATCTCACCGAAGAGGACCCCTGTTCACTGTGAGTGGCCCATGTTTGGGTGCAAACACCACCCACCCCTCCACTGAAAATGTAGGCTGGCCTTGCTTTCTGCTGCCAGAGCCACCCCTTCTAGCCCTGTGCTCCCCCGAGAGGTATCCCATGCATGCCAGCATGAGCTCGTGTGCAGCGCCATCAGTTGGCTCTTGGGCTTTGCATGGTGACAGTTGCCCCATGTATTGGCTTTCTACTAAGCAATCCAAGTTTAGTCTTTAGCCTTTTTAGTGCCCTTATGTCTCCCAGGTTTCAAGCAGCCCCTGGCAGGGCAGGATAACGCCCTGCAGGAGTGTCTCTGTGCTGGAACAGGACACATGGGGGCTTCTCTGTGGCATCAGACACTCAGGGTCAAAACTGTTGTTGACCATCATTGACCTAGTTGACCTGAAAACCATGGGTTGTTTCACCTTGTCAACACAGTGTGCCTTCCACACAGCCCCAGAGCAATCTGTCTGAAACCTTAATTAGGCCAGGATGCCCTGCTGTCTGCCAGTGTTGAGTAGAGAGCTTTACCTTTATTCCCAAGGCCTGGCATACAGAAGGCTCAATAAATATTTGTGAGTGAGTGGATGAGCAGAAGGCCTGTGTGTGCCTCAGTGGTCCTTGCAGTTTTCAAGGTGGGGCTCAGGTCTAAGAGCTGAGGTGTGAAAAACTCTCCACACCAATTAGATTTAAGTATCTGAGAGCAGCATAGCCTGGGCCAGGGGCAAATTGCCTGGGAAGCAGTCACTATTCCAGTCATCTCTGGTCTGAGAGTGACCCCTTGTGATTTTAAAGAGGAAGGGCAAGCAGGAGAAATGCTGCCTGTCAGTCTCCATGCTGGTTTGCTCGCTGCTCCTGACCCAAGCATAGTGCACTCCCTCTGGTATCAGAAAGCTGTGCATGTCACCAAAGCCCAGGCCTCGGCAACTTGCGGGCTCACCACAGCTGGGTCTTGTGGTGTCCAGAGCTTATCTGCAGGGGTTTCAGAGCCAAGTGGGATCTCAGAGGGTCAGTACCTGAGCCAGTGACTGTGTCTCCCACTTTGCCTTCCGTAGAGAGCTGGGGCCGGTGGTCCGCAGTGCTCAGCTGGATCTGGGTACAGGGCACTGAGGGCGGGCAGGTGGGCAAGGGGCCTTTCCTCAGTGAGGGAAAAGATTTTGTGTCTGATGGAAACAGACCTTACAGAGCATGTGGTCAGCATGGGCATGCCCTTCTGATCCTGCTCCCCTCCCTCCGGCCATCTTGCCATGGGAAGTAAAGCCCTCTCTTTAAAGTGTACAAGCTCTGCTTGCACTTGACTCCAGACAGGGATGAGCGAGGGCCACATGGCCCTGCCCTCTTTGTCTGAGAACTGCAGAGACCATTTTTCTGAACTGCCCTGGTGCAGTTGCGCTATCACAGGGCGCATGTGGGTTAGAAGTGAATAGAGTCATTGAACAGATTGTTTTTGTCAATTATGTTTTCCTGTTGATTTCCTTGGCTGCTTCCGGGTACTCTGTCTTCTGTTGAATCTTCACCTGAAAATGCTTGAGGTTTTTAGGTTTCTTCGTTCCTTCCCCACCCCTCCCACAAGTTGTTCAACTCCTGATGAGCATTAGTGGGTTGTTGTGGAGCCCCCGGAAGTGAGAGGCGTAGCCTCTTGCACAGGCATATCAAAGGCTACCAGCCCCTGGAACAAGGGACAGAATGCCAGTGAGTCGGCTTCTCCCCGGGCCACACCTGCGTCAGCTTTGGCGGCAGGCCCTGGTGGACACCACACTGAGCCCTGCACAGTGGCTGTTGCTCCCTCACCATGCAGTGCGCCCTCTCCTCACAGGTACCTCATCAACTTTCTTCTGGATGCCACCGTGGGTATGCTGCTCATCTACGTGGGTGTGCGTGCCGTCAGCGTCCTGGTGGAGTGGCAGCAGTGGGAGTCCCTGCGTTTTGGCGAATATGGTAACATACACTGGACACGGCGTGGTGGGAGCTGCTTGGAGCGGGGGGTCTGCTCCTTTCCCTCTGTAGCCCACCAGGAAGGTGGATGCAGAGAAGGTTTGGGAGCTGGTGGCTATCTCCTCTGTGGCAGAGGGGCTGATTCTGGGATCTGAGTGCCACAGTCCTGTGGGTGTGGGTGCCTGCTTCATGGCCAAGGTTCTCAGCTTTGTGGCAGGGAAGGTGCCAGGAGACACACTAGTCTCAGAGAAGGAACCGAATGTTTGCCTCTTCTACCAGAGGGCATAAATGGACCCACCAGCAGGGCCACAAGGCTGCCTCATTCTGCCAAGCTTCCCATAGAGCTCGCACACATGCCCACCATGTTAGAGAAGTGTGAGCAGTTCTTGTGTTTTGGAGATGTTCAGTAGGGAGGTGGGATATCCTGTCCCTCTTTCTGCTGCATGTCTGTGCTTGTCCTGTCTCTGGGCCATTCCACTGACACAGTGGAGCTCACATGGCTGAGACTCAAGGCTGCATCCCTGCCTGTCCCCTGCTCCCTCCCCCCAGCATCTGGCAGATGCCAGTCACCAGGGACAGGAGGTCCAGCCTTACTCAGAGACACAGCTTAAAACAGGTGACTCGTGGATGCTGGCCCGACAATGACCACTCCCATCTCACCAGACCCCATGGGATACAACTTGGGTAGGAAGCTGCCCTTGTGCTGGCTCTGAGCACGAGAAACAGCTGGAGGTGACCTTGACAGGGCTGCTGGTGAGAGATGCCTTCTTGGGACCCTTACTGCCCTCTGGGGTTTCAGGCCAGGGCTAAGGGATAACATCAGCTCTTTCCCACCTTCACAGCTGGCCCCTGCTGTCTGCAGGCAGGAGCTCCTCTTCTCAGTTGGAGCCGCATCAGTGGAGCCTTTGCCCTGAGAGGGGCTCACAGGACAAGAGGGAGGGAATGCGGATGGAATTCTGGATCCCACCCTCATTTCCTGGTCACGCCTCCCAAAGAGCTCATGGCTCTGGGCCCAAGGGCCACTCACTCCTAGATGGCTGAAGATTCACAAGGGACTGACACTTTAAAAAGGGAGCTGATTCGTGGAGCTGGCTGTGAGTGCCTTGGGTATTTCTAGAAATCTTAAGTAATTGTTTGTCTCCACACAGGGGAGGTGAGCTCAGGGGAGGGCTTTTCTTAGCCCCATTACTTGATGCCTGATGAGTCACTGACTTAGGATAGTGTCCGACACATAGCATGTGCCTCCTGTGGCGCCAGAGAAGGCTTCTGAGAAGCTCCGAGTCATTGTTCCCTCAGCTGGCAGGATGGAATCGAAGCACAGCACACATGGACCAATGCAGCAGCAGCCTCGTTTATAGAACAGGCACCCAGAGGAGTTAGAGATGCCCAGAACTCACCCAGCCAGTGCATGGTTGGGGGGCCTCATACCTGCTGCACCAGAACACCTGAACCCTCCCACCACCTGTATGAGCAGTGTTCATAACTCCTCCTTTGCTGTTGAGATCTCTTCTGAAGGCAGGGCTCTCAACTCAAATGTAGCTGACCGTGCTTAGGTGCACGTACCAGTCAGTGACCTGGAAGTTGAGATCAGGTATGGTCCTGATACACCAGGCATTGTGGTACCACTTGTTCCCAAACACATTTGTCTGCGTTCCCAAAAGCAGATGGGAAGGAAGAAGGCAGTGGTTGTGTTGGAACCTCCTCCTCCTCGCTTGTGCTGCCTTGGCCACTGCCCTTGGATCATCCCTCCACTGCCTCTGGGAACCAGAGTCTTCAAGCCAGGTGTCTCCAGAAAAAGCTGTCCTTCATCAAGGACCTCCAGGCAGAGGAAGGATAATGTGTCTCCTCAGTCACGTGTTGTTTTCTATTTGTCCATTTCTGTTTTCTGTTGCTACTGTAACAAATGATCACAAACTTAGTGATTTAAAACAACACAGATCATTACAGTTCTTTCCTTCACAAGTCCAACATGGGTCTCACTGGACTAAAATCAAGGTGTCAGTAGGGCTGGTTTCTTCTGGAGTCTCTAGAGGAGGTGGGTTTTTTTTGCCCTTTCCAGCTTCTGGACACCATCTGCATTCCTTGACTGGACTAAAATCAAGGTGTCAGTAGGGCTGGTTTCTTCTGGAGTCTCTAGAGGAGGTGGGGTTTTTTGCCCTTTCCAGCTTCTGGACACCACCTGCATTTCTTAGCTGTGGCCCTCTTCCTCCGTCCTCACAGCCAGCAACAGTAGGTTGGGTTCTTTTCACATTGCATTACTTTGACCTTCTGTCACCTCCTTTCACTTTAAAGTGCTCCCGTGATTACATTGGGCCCACCAGACACTCAGGATACTCTCCCTATCTGAGAGTCAGCTGATTAGCAACCTTAACTCTGTTTGCAGCCATAATTCTCCCTTTGCTATGCAATGTCACATCATCACAGATTCTGGGGATTAGGAAGTGGGCATCTTTGCAAGGTGTTATTCCACCTACCACACCTGTTAACCTGCCCGTCCATGTGAGGCAGTAATTCCACGTAGTCCCCACAGCTCTCTTTTCAGGTAAATGAAGGAGAAGTAGGTGGCTCCCTTTGTTTCTAGGAGAGAAGGTACATGAGCTTGCTAACAAGAATGTGGACTTGGCCACACAGCCCTGAGGGTGAGGCTGGTTCTGATGATCAGGCTGCTCTTTCCCATATGGAAACCCTGAAAATGAGGTCTGTGTCCCACAGTCACAGTGCTTCCTGGGCTTTGCTGCCTGTCCCCACCCAATGCTCCCTTCTGGAAGCCTCTTGACACAGGTGTGTCCCCTCCTTTTGCCCCTGTGCCTGTGACTTACACTGAGGGAATAAGCCCACAAAAACAAAACACGCATGTACCTGAGGTTGTCCAGTGCATTAAAAAACAAGACCCAAAGACAATGCTTGGTACATCTGTCCTTTAAAAATGAGACCATGATGGGGAATGTTTGGAAGACTTTCCTTATTTTTTGGATTTTGTTTTGTTTCTTCCTCTTTTTAAAAAAATTTTTGAAAGGCTTTCAAGTGAAACAAATCAGAAAACAAATGGGCACATGTGCGCCCATCACAACTATGGCAATGTGTGATCTGGATGCACAGGAGGAAATGATGTGTTAGAGTGGGATTATAGATGCTCTTTGTCTTTTTTCACCGTGTTTGTGAACTGTCTTATTTTAGCTTCTAAATGAGAAAAAGAGGCAGCTGCAGCTAAGTTGTGCAGCAGAAACCAAGAGCATCGTGGCAACTGAGGCAGATCAGATGAAAAGCATTTTCCTCTTTTGTCAGTCCTGTGGACCAAAATCAGGGCTGTCGAGGCAGAAATAATGTTACAAAGGTTTATTGAAAGCCAAGTTTGAGGATCAACCCGGGAAACACAAGCCAACAGAGTTGGAAAGTGCTCCGAAGTCAACTACAAGCAAAAGCATTTTATAAATGAGTTTCAAAAGGAAATTTCAGGAGGCGGGGAAAGCTCCAAGTACAGTTTTCCTTTTCTTGTGGAACACAAAAGTCACAATCATTGGTTTTTGATTACAATCTGTGTGCAACCTGAAGCAGATGCATTATGCTCCAGCTATTCTTAACAGTATCTAAATGGCTTATTCAAAACCAGGTTATGCATTAATTAACAAATCAGCAGTTCTAAGCACGTACATTATTTATCTCAAGAACAAGATGTCTGGGCCGGCCCGGTGGCGCACTCGGTAGAGTGCGGCGCTTGGGAGTGCAGCGGCGCTCCCACCGAGGGTTCGGATCCCATGTACAGACTGGTCCGCTCACTGGTTGAGCGTGGTGCGGGCGCGACACCGAGGGTTGCTCACTGGTTGAGCGTGGTGCGGGCGCGACACCGAGGGTTGCAATCCTGTTGCTGGTCGCGGTGCGGGCGCGACACTGAGGGTTGCGATCCTGTTACCAGTCACGAAAAAAGACAAAAAGGAAAAAAAAAAAAAAGAACAAGATGTCGACATCCAGTTCCTGAAACTTATCCCAAGGCAGTGAGTTTTGAAAAACCTTCATTTTGATTATTTCCTTTATCAGAGCAAGTGTGTGTTCTTTTGCTAGGAAATAACTGGTGCCACTTGTTCTGCTGACTTTTAAACACACCAGTCCTGATTCAGAGATATTTCCTAGTAGCGCTTTCTGTCAGACTGTTCCCAGTCTTACGTAATGGTGTTTAACAAATACTTTCATCTGTTATCTTTGAGAACTTTTCTCATTAACGTCAAGTGACTTAGTGAAAAGATTGCAAAACTTCATTAACAATCTAGCAAGGAGAGATTGTGCTTCTGAAATGGTTTTTTTGGTTCAAATGTCTCTTTTCCCAAAAGTGAAAATAGGTAGACCTCAGAATGGTCAACTGATATGTTTCTGCATGCTTTCCACCACACTTCTCCCGGGGTTTTCCAGAAAAGGCAATGGCCTGGTGTTTTGTCCATTACAGCTGCATAAAGGCATTCACTTGTGCTTCCACTGTGTACAGTTGGCAGGTTCAGGCAGGGATGGGAGCCTCCAGCGTGGGTGCCTGGACAGGGATTGTAGAATCAATGAGAAGCTGGAGATTTCTCTTTGGGCCAAATTCCCTTCTCACAGCCTGGAATGGGGCCTTTGTCTCTCCTGCAGTGTTACTTTCCACCACCTCTTGTGGCCAGCTGTGGTCAGGCATCTCCGACAGAGCTTCCATCAATGAGAAGCTGGAGATTTCTCTTTGGGCCAAATTCCCTTCTCACAGCCTGGAATGGGGTCTTTGTCTCTCCTGCAGTGTTACTTTCCACCACCTCTTGTGGCCAGCTGTGGTCAGGCATCTCCGACAGAGCTTCGGAGGCCAACCCCAGGCAGCTTCCCCTATACCCCACTCTCCCATGGGTCTCCTACTTTGAGGAGGCTTGTGTGGTGGCTCCCTGAGGCCCATCCCTAGGGTTCTGAATGTCAAAGGATCATTCCTGAGGGGTGCTGATCCTCCATCCTTCCTTGTGAAGCATTCTGAAGGCACTCCAGGGCCTGCATGTGCCCCAGCATGGATTGTTGGGTTGCTCAGTTTCTCATGCATGGTGACTGATGGAATCACAGATGGACCTTTATCATAGGCCCAGGCCTTGGCCCATCACTCCCACTCCTTGCCCTGAGGGCTTCTGTCTTCTCTTCCTTGTCCCTAGCCAGGGTGTTTGAGGTCACCTCTACTAGACAGTCAGAATCTGAATTCCTCCAGAATCAGATTTCTGCTCTCAGGGCTAAGGGCATCAGGGACAGGGCTGGGGAGAGTGGGGTACGGGATGGGAGGTGGAAAGGTAGGTGACGAACAAAGATGATTACTGCCTTCATAATTCACAAATATCAGTCCTCTCATGGACAGAAGGAAGGAAGGATAAGCACTAGTCACTGGAAAAATCAACATCAGATAATAATAGCAGTCTTGCTTAACACAGCTTCTGCTGCCAGCGTACAGAAAGAACCAGCTTTTCTGAACTCCAGCAATGAGTACTTACTAACTTTAGAGCTTTTAAATTCTATCTTAGAATCTCAGAAGGAAGACCATTCTGGTATTTCCAAATTAGAAATTCTCTGATTTTATTTAAAACAGTACATTTGTCTGTTAAGAATGAGGTGATCGTAGGGCATTGGGAGGCTCAGTAAGTACCTTTAGAGTCAGGATTGTGGGGTGTGGGTAGGGGTGTGAGGGCTCACCAGGAACTGTTGGGGATGGCATTGTCTCACTCGATGCCTGGGCCCCGCGTGACTAAGCACCGCCTCTCCCTGCAGGAGACCCTCTGCAGTGTGGAGCTTGGGTCGGGCAGTGCGCTCTTTACATCGTGATCATGGTTTTTGAAAAATCCGTTGTCTTCATCGTCCTCCTAATACTGCAGTGGAAAAAGGTTTGCCTCTCGTCTCTGCTCTGCAGCTCCTTGATAAGCTAAGCACACAGTACTTCCTACCCCATCACCCATATCCCCCAGCCCTATTGGAAAACCAGATTTGTTTTTGTTTTTCACTCCATGAATGTACCCTGGATTCAGTCTGATAATGGCAACTACTTGTAAGTTTGTTTTTCTTTAATTTAGCATCCATCCACTTCATTTATGTAAATTTCTGCTCTAGATTAAGCCTTGTGATGTATAAAGCTAGAGAAAATACAGTCCTGGCCCTCAGGTCTGATACTACTCTTCAGGCCTTGCAACTGTAAATCTCTCCATTTGCAGATGTCCTCACACACCTCTCTTGGCTGGTGGTTTAACTGAGTCATTTGGTGCCACAGGCAGCTTCTGGGTCTGTGACCAGTGTGCTGATGCCCTGGGGAGCTCACAGATGCTCTCGGCCCTGACCTCTGCCCTCTGACCCCAGTACTGTGCAGATAAGCCTCTCCTGCTCGCCTCCATACGCCCACATGAAACCAGCTGAAGGGCCTTCAGAAGAAGTGGCTCAGATCTCGGTCTCCCTTGGGTTTTATTTTTTTAGGAAAATAAGCCAAGGCTTTTCAGAGCTGTTGTCCCTTCAGGAGGTGGTTAGGGTGCAGGATTTCTGTTAGACAGTGGTCTGGCACCCCGTCACTAGCGTCTGTAATGACCGTCCACCGAGTTCACTCCCTCAAGCCCCACACTGCTCCCTGCAGGCCTCAGGCTACTCTCTGCTCTCCAGGGTGGGCACTGCCTTGCTGTGGCTCGGTGGTTGTAAGTCCACTGTGCTCTGCATATCCACACCCACGGGAAAACTGGTAAAGCACTAACTGCTGAAAGTGGTCTCCAGGGGGTTCCCTCATTATCAGTCAAATCTGGGGACTGTGCAGCCCTGCTCCCATCGGGCTCTGCAGGGAGTGTCTATGCTCAGCTCCCTCCCAGGGCCTTAGGGACTCCTCCCTGCTTTCTCTGTGGTCTTTCCGCCTCACAGAGTCTGCCTCTCTTTACAGGTGGCCCTGTTGAATCCCATTGAAAACCCTGATCTGAAGCTGGCCATCGTCATGCTGATCGTCCCCTTCTTTGTCAATGTCAGTGCTATGTTGCTTTTTTTTTTTTTTTTAACCTGGTTTGTGCCCTTCCTTCCAGAGTTCCTGCTCAGAGTTCTGAGTCTGACAAAAAGCTCACCTTATAGCCATCAGGTCTTTCTGGGTGACTCTTTGTCACCTCCCCACCTCCACCTCCAGACCTGGAAATGGAGAGATTGCTTCCTCAAAAGGCAGGTTCCCTCTCCAGGCCCTGGTGCAGGATGAAAGGTCCTAGGAACTTTGTCTTGCCCTCCCTGCCAGGGGGCCTCCCACCAAGAAGTCCCACCCCATGTGTAACACCAACTTCTAGATCAGCATTGTTTCAAAGGTACCCCAGTCCTTTATTCCTGACCGTAGATCTCAAAGAGAAACTCAGGAGCACAATGGCTAGAAGTTAGGGAATAGTGAGAAGAAGCCGGGGCAAACAGTGATGGCACATGTGCTGGCAGCTGTGCAGAGTCCAGGGTGAGGCGCCAGAGCAGGTGTCCAGAGACCTTGGTGCCGGGCCCAAGACAGGCTGTCCTATTGGTCACCACAACAAGAACTCCTCAGTGTGGATAGGGCAGGGATTTTCTTGCCCATTCTCTGATAAGAAAACCGAAACAAAGGGAACAGAGATTGGGAAACTCTTCCTAAGCTTCTGGGGGATAACGGGGAGTAGATGGGGTTTTTCTTTCCATAGTTCTGGATTTCATAACCTGGAATGTGGGCAGAGAAGGGTAGATATGGGGGTTGCTTTGCTTTGAAAAATGGCTTATCCCACAGTAATCTGCACTTTTCCATCCCACAGTCTTTGATGTTTTGGGTAGTAGATAATTTCCTCATGAGAAAAGGGAAAACGAAAGCTAAACTAGAAGAAAGAGGAGCCAACCAGGACTCAAGGAATGGGAGCAAGGTCCGCTACCGAAGGGCCGCATCCCACGAGGAGTCTGAGTCTGAGGTAGGCGCCTTCTTGACTCTCTGAGGGCCAGAGATGTCCTGCCATGGGCCCATGGCGATCTCTGGTCTCGTCTTTGCATTTGGTCTTCTCTGGAGTGCTGGGTCACAGTGCCAACCAGGGAGGGAGAAGAGGCTGAGCCAAAGAGCAGCCTAGCTCCCAGGTAGCTCCTGTCCAGTCAGGCCCATCCCTGCTGTCCCACAGGCCTTCCTAGGGCAGGAGGTTGGAGCATGTGGTGGAGTTGCTTCATATCTTCTCTAGGTGCGTGTCCTTAGAGTCTGGCACAGGGCCTGTTGTGTTGTAAGAGCTTGGTGAACATTAGGGAAATGACAAACAGCTCCTGAGCGTTCATAGTCACATGGTTTGGCATCTGGCTAATAATGTGAAATTCAGAATAGGGGACAGAATGTCAAGAAATGAGGCACAAGCGCAGTCAGCTAGATGGGCAGGGCACTTTGTGGCCAGGCTGAGGAGTTGGGACGTGCTTGTGCAGGCGGTAGGAGCTAGTGAGGGTGTATAATCGGGACTGAGACTGGAGGCAGGAAGCTGCAAGGATGAGACCATGCGCCCTGCCCCTAGGGTGGAAGGAGTGTGTGTCCCCTGCACAGGTGGACTTTGAGGCCTCTTGGTCCTGATGTAGGCTGTTCAAATCTCTCCTGGGGCTCAGAGGCCTCAGGAACCAGGCAGGTGGCATGGTAGGTAGTCAGGGAATGGCCCTGGCTACATGGCTGAGTCATTCCAGGGGCTCAGAAAAGCCAAGCGCTTCTGTTTGTCTTTAAAAATTACAAAGTTGGGGGCCAGCCCGTGGCTCACTTGGGAGAGTGTGGTGCTGATAACACCAAGGCCACGGGTTCGGATCCCATATAGGGTTCTGTTTGTCTTTAAAAATTACAAAGTTGGGGGCCAGCCCGTGGCTCACTTGGGAGAGTGTGGTGCTGATAACACCAAGGCCACGGGTTCGGATCCCATATAGGGTTCTGTTTGTCTTTAAAAATTACAAAGTTGGGGGCCAGCCCGTGGCTCACTTGGGAGAGTGTGGTGCTGATAACACCAAGGCCACGGGTTCGGATCCCATATAGGGATGGCCGGTTGGCTCACTGGCTGAGCGTGGTGCTGACACCAAGTCAAGGGTTGAGATCCCCTTACCGGTCATCTTTAAAAAAAAAAGAAATTACAAAGTTGGTTCAGAGTAGCCACACTGAAAACTCCCAGCCTGTGTGTCCATCCAATACGGGGATCAAACTCTATGCCTTGGTGTTATCAGCACCATGCTGTAATCAACTGAGCTAACCAGCCAGCCCTGTCTTCTTTTTGAAAGAGGCTTTTTGGTTTGCTTCTGCTATATTTAAGGTAGCTTCAAGGACTGGGACTCCATGTGTCCAGATTGAGCTTTTTTGCCAGGATGACCTTAGGCTGCAGGTCCCTACTGCGTTTGCTCTGGTGGGGTTTGGTTCCAGCTGGAGATTGGATGGGGAAGTAGGGAGTATTCGCAGAGGGAGGGGGCCTGTCAACTCAGCGCTGGTGTCAGTAGCCTGTGAATGTTCTTGTAGTGAATGTGGTCTCTGGTGGGCCATTTCTCATTGTGTGAAGGTGGCCTCCCCTCACCCTCTTCCAGAAAAACGGGAGGGCCCAGGGTCCAGGGAGGGCAATTAAGGAAAGTACTGGGGGCGGTGACTCAGGCCATGCCTTTCTGCTGCCTCAGATCCTGATCTCGGCTGACGACGAGATGGAGGAGTCAGACGTGGAGGAGGACCTCCACAGACTGACCCCCCTCAAGCCTGTGAAGAAAAAGAAGCACCGCTTCGGGCTGCCCGTATGATGCATTCCCATGCCGGGGTGACAGGATTGGGGTCCGCCGGCTGCCGTGTGAAGAAAAAGAAGCACCGCTTCGGGCTGCCCGTATGATGCATTCCCATGCCGGGGTGACGGGATTGGGGTGGTGGTGGGTGGTCACCCTGCGACGTCATTCCTTGCCTCCTCTCTCTGCCCTTCCTCTTCTTCCCATGCCGGGGTGACAGGATTGGGGTCCGCCGGCTGCCGGGTGGTGGGTGGTCACCCTGCGACGTCATTCCTTGCCTCCTCTCTCTGCCCTTCCTCTTCTACCTCCACTGCTCTTGCTGACTCCACCCACCTCTGCCTGCTCCCAGATGACTGTGACTTATAAAGAGGGAAGAGGAACCAGTGCTCAAGGGGGCTGTGGGCAGCTGGAGGTCCCGTGCTCAGTTGCACTACAAACACTGACCAAATATGCAAGTGAGGAATTCTGTCTGTATGTTATTGTCCTGACCAGTGTTGCGAGGGACCCAGAAGCCCCTGTCCTGTGTCCGACTGGTTGGCATGGTGAAAAAAAACAGGCACACACAGACTGGGTGGGCCCTTTCACCAAGGCTGCAGGCAGTGTGAACACACAGCTCGTTTTGGACTGAAAGTCACTCATTGACCAAGTTGTAACCAGAATGCTTTCTTACACAAAATGGCCTTTGTAACTATTGATTTTCAAGCCGGTTTTATGAGCTGTGACAGTGTTACTGTTTTTTGAGTATGTGTTTATTTCCTACAAAGTACCTATGGGACTAATGGGCAAAACATAGATTTTTAAGTCTTCCGTATGCTGTTTGACTTTTATATTTTTAAGTTATATTTTCATACTATTGTATTTAAAAACTCTTTTTAACTCCCAAAGAAATGAGTTTGTTTGCATCTTGTGGGTGTGAGCTGGTGGGAGGAAAAAGTTGGGAGTTTTTTACTTATAATATTGTTAGGGAATGTCCTATGATAAGATGGGAGAAATGATCCCAGCAGAAAGGGAAGACGGACCTTATCTGGAAATGGCAAACCCAGTGGTTCCATGAAGGTCAGGCCTGAGTGTGGGGCAGCTGGTCTGAATGCAGATCCAGGCTCTGTCTGGGGCGCATGAGCACTATGGTATTTCTGCTGGCAGGTTAGCAGTCTTGGTTAAACTTGACTGAGAAAGAAGCTTAAGAGGTCAGAGACTACCACACTGCTCCTGTTTGTTCCTTGCCTCTCTTCAGAGCTCCCAGATCTCAAGTTTAAAGTGGTCTCCGCCTCTTAGCCCCACTGCTGCAGCCCGCAGAACCAGCCTCTGGTCCCAACCCTAGAACCTCTTCCCACACAGCCCTGGTGCCTGTCATCTTAGTACCGTCTTGTCATCTTGCACAACAGTCTGGAGAACATCTTGCCTGCCTAAGTGATCCCGTTTTTCACATCCTTCAAAACTGTGAGGTAGCTGGGACAGGTAGGGATGAACCTGTGTAAACCCACAGGCAGACAAGGCGCTTCTAGGCTGTGTCCCCTCCTTGGGGAGTGGCACCCATTCCTCAGCATGGCCACAGACCCCCATGCCTTTGGAAGTTTGCTGAATGGCAGTGGGACAGGCTGACTGTGGTACTTTCCCTGCTGTGGAAGCAGCAAAGTAGAGCTGCCCAGTGGTTTGTCAAGCCAAGGGGCAGCCGTGGACATTTAGGAACAGAAAACCACACCGCTGCCGTGTGAGCTGGGAAACAGCCCGGGCCTTAAGTGAGACCAGTGCAGAGGAGACCACTCCACTCAGAACCATCTTTTTAGAGCTATGTAAAGATGAGATTTACTTCAGCTCTTTGGGTCTGAACTGTGGCGTGAAAGCCAAGCTGTTAAACCAGGCACTCTGGGACTATCCTCTGCCTGTCCCAGACAGGGGGCAAGCCTTGGGGAGGCCTTCTCAACCCGTCTTACTCCAGGAGTGCAGAGCCACTGAGGGGAGCAGGGACTGTCACTGCAGTAGCAGGCAACTGCTAGTGTGAGCATCGTGGCCAGAGAGGAGACGGCAGACGGCGCATGAGATTGGCATCTTTCTTGAGTTTTGCATGCTCCTGCTCACATTTACTCTCCTCACCCCTCCTATCCCGTGGCTGTAGTAGTGGCCCTTTCTCTGCCAGTTCTCTAGTGGGGAAGAGTGGCTGCAGCCAGGCTGTATTAAGTCGCATTTGGGAAGGCCAGAACGGACGTTCCTAGTAAGATGGTCAGTCCCTCATGACATCAGTGACTCGGTCCTCATTTCCTGCCTCCTGTTTCATATTGGTTTGAACACCAAAGCCCAGCTGTTTCCTCCATCTTCCTGGAGCTCAGAATCAGAGCTTCATTTTCAGGCTTGAGCTCCTAATGTTTCCAAACTGGGGGCAGAGGGTGGGGGAGCTATAATCTGTGAAGATGAAAACTGGGTTATATAGACCTCAGATCTCATCTAAGGCTTGTCCTTTCTCCTACTGAGCAGTGGGTTTGGGGACAAAGAGGTAGCAAGTGAGTAGTAGTTTTTCCCTGATTTTCAGTAAGGGCTTTAGTCTCTAAGCTGCAGCTGTGTAGCTAGCTAACCAGGAGATGGAGGTCTAACAGGTTGTCTGGACAGCATGGCCTTACATGTTCGGGCCTCCCCTACCCGTGTGCATGTACACATGGACAGGCACGGGAGTCTGTGTCCCGTGGGATTGCCTTCTGCAGTCACACGGGCTCTTCTGTGCGCACTGTCCCATGAAAGTAGATGCAGAGGGCTGTGGTCAGGACTTCCTCCCAAGCTGTCCTCCCTTCCTGGGGTGAATTTCCTCACCACCTGCTCCAAGGTGCCTTAGGAGGTGCAGTCTCACCTGGCCTGTCCCATGAAAGTAGATGCAGAGGGCTGTGGTCAGGACTTCCTCCCAAGCTGTCCTCCCTCCCTGGGGTGAATTTCCTCACCACCTGCTCCAAGGTGCCTTAGGAGGTGCAGTCTCACCTGGTCACTTGGCAAGTGTCACCATGCTTGAGAAACGACGGGATACCAGCTGCATCCTGTGTGCTGTCAATCTGATTTGTCCAAATCTGGACTTTAGCCAAGCCACCCATGATGAAAACTTGCCAGTCGAGGTCATGAACACGTTTCTTGTAACTAATAGAAATAAGACTATGAGGTCAGACTGTCGTACCTAGATGGAAGAGATGGTTGTTTCTGTTATTTCCTTTTGCTGTCAGTGGGACATTGACAATGGCAAGTAGAGGGTGTTGGTGAGATCCCAGGGGTCAGTGGCTTCTTGGTCTGCTCAGCCCAAAGACGTATGAGGTGAGGGTCTATTGCCCCTCAGTTAGCCCTTGGGCATGCTGGTGGCCTCCTGCTTCAAGCTTTAATTTGGGCCCTCTTTGGCAACCGGGAGTCATGAGTTATTATCACCTGTCATGCCTTTTTCTTCAGGGAAAATATAAAAAGTCTCAAGTGCAAGTTGTAACTTCCTTTAGGCAGTGTAGGCCTGTAGGCTGCAGCCTAGAGTTCACGTCCAAAGGCTGCTCCACGACCCTGGAGGGAGCAGTCCCTGGCCGGCAGCCTGCTCTGTGCCCCAGATTGCAGTTTATTGGTGGCCAGGCCAAGATAGCAGCACCGGGAGCTTGCTGCAAGCCAGAGCAGCTACCTGGTAGGGTATAGAGCTGGCTTTTAGAGGTTTCACGTGCTTCCAACTAGGCATGCAGAGCTCTCTGTTTTACCCTGCAACACACTGGCAGCTCTGAGGGGCTTTGCTTTTGGTGAAGGACTTTTGGTCTGACTTGCTATGAGCACCTTGAGTTCTTGTGCTGGTTAGTTGGCTGGTTTGATTGTTTTAAATTTGATTTTTCTTCTCATAAAATTTATTGCAAGTCATACCTATGTGAGCAAAACTGTGGCCCACTTCAGTTGCCATCCCAGTGGGGGTATTTAATCAGTGGTGTTACAATTCATGGAAACATTTTTGAAATGAAAGGGAAGATGATGTACTTACATTGTAAAATGGTTTACAATAAAGTTTGACATCTTATTACAGTTTTTTAAAAAAGAAACCATCGCATTTTTGGTTTTTATTTGTGTTCTCAGGAGTTGAAACCACTTAGTGAGGTCAAAAAATTCCCGCAGTAGTTAGAAGGCTCTCCCCAGGAAACAGAGTGAACCTCACAAAGCCTCATGGCATAAGTGGAAGCCAAAATCTACTGACAAAGGAAGCCCAACATCCTCTTGCCCTTTCCACTTCCTTGCTGCCGAGCATCAGAGCTAGTCCACCTCCTGAGGAAGGAGTTGTAGTGGGGAGACAGGGCATCCTACATCCGTGTCCCTGCAGCCACGGGCCTGGAAGGCAGGTGCCTCCCTGGATAGAGCCAGCTGTGGGGCAGTGCTGAAGCCACGGTTATGCTCCGTACTGGCACCCCTTGAGCCAGCGGCAGCACCCTCATAGGCCTGGCTGTCCTCAGTTGCCTCTTGGCCCCTGCTCACGGTCCTGGGCATTCCTCATGTCAGCACTTGTCTCATCGAGCCTGGCAGTCCTTATATTGGCCTCCTGGGGACCAGGACCAGAGGCAGCCATTGGGGTGGGGGTGGAGATATGACAGCAGCAGAGTGGCATTTGGGATAACCAAATGTCATGCCTGGTTGGGTTCCGTCTGCCTGGAGCCTTTAAGGATAAAAATAATCTCTGAAACTGAAAAGGAGCTTGGGTATGTCTGAGCTAGCAGGGGGGGCCCTTCCTCTGGGGTTGTTAGGAGCTTCTGGCAGAGGAGAGCTAATAAGTGACTCAGGGGAAGCCTTCGGGCCTGTCCTCTTCACAGCTGGAGTGGGCTTCACTCCCTCCCCCTTTCAGCAACCTGAGCTGTGCTGCAGGCCACCCCCGTTCAGTGACCTCATCTCAGTCAGAGGCTCTATGCCTGAGACTCGGTTTCCCACCTTCATCGCCCCAGTGCCCTCACCATCAAGCATGGTTTCCTCCCTGGTCCTTCCTGGGCCCCTTCCCCCTGCCTTGCTATGGATGAAGGCAGAGGATGAGGGCATCAGCAAAAACACAACGGAGCAGCT